TCCCCAATTGATGAAAGGTCTAAGGATATGAACAGGTAGTTCTCAGATGAAGAAATTAAAGCCATCTATAGACATATGAAAAAATGCTCTAAATCACTGTTGATTAGAGAAATGCAAATCAAAACAACTCTGAGGTACCACATCACACCTATCAGATTGGCCAACATGATAAAACAGGAAAATGATAAATGTTGGAGAAGATGTGGGAAAATTGGAACACTAATGCATTGTTGGTGGAGTTGTGAAATGATCCAACCATTTTGGAGAACAATTTGGAACTATGCCCAAAGGGCTATCAAAATGTGCATACCCTTTGACCCAGCAATAGCACTTCTAGGGCTGTAACCCAAAGAGATCATACAAATGGAAAAAGACCCAAATGTACAAAAATAATTATAGCAGTTCTTTTTGTGGTGGCAAAGAATTGGAAATGAGAGGATGCCCATCAACTGGGGAATGGCTGAATGAGTTGTGGTAAATGAATGTAATGGAATACTGTTGTGCTATAAGAAATGATGAGCAGGCAGACTTCAAAAAAACCTGGCAAGACTCATACAGTCTGGTGCTGAGTGAAGCGAGCAGAACCAGGAGAACATTGTACATAGTAATGGCCACGTTGTGCAATGACTGACTTTTACAGAGTTATCTCTTCTCAGCAATACAAAGATCTAATTCATCTCCAAAGACCTCATGATGGAAAATGCTATCCACATCCAAAGAAAGAACTATGGAGTTTAAATGCAGATCAAAGCATAGTATTTGCTATTTTTTTTCTTCTGTTGAGTTTTGTTGCCTCTTTCTGGTGGTTCCTCCTATTGGTTCTAATTCTTACTTACAACATCACCAATACGAAAAAATGTTTAATAGGAATGTATATATGTAGTCTATATCAGATTACGTGCTTTCTTGGGAGGGAGATGGAGAGAGAGGGAGATAAAGATATAAAACTCAAAAGCTTATGGAAGTGATTGTTGATAAATTAAGATAAATTAATAAAAAAAGAAAAAAAAAGGAAAGATTCCACCAGTCATGTCCTGAAAGAGATGCGAAAATTTAAAAAAAAAAAAAGCTCCCAGGAATATTATAACCAAATTCCAGAGCTCCCAGATCAAGGAGAAAATATTGCAAGCAGCCAAATATTGAAATAATTCAAATATCATGGAACCATAGTCAAGATCACATAAGATTTATTGGATTTCATGTTGAAGTAGAGGGGTTGGAAGCCCAGAAGGAAAATGAGCTATGATTATAACCAAGAATAACCTACCAAGCAAAACTGAGTATAATCCTTCAAGAGAAAAACTGGAAATTTAATTAAATAAGAGCACTTTCAATCATTCCTGACGAAAAGTCCAGAGATGAGTAGAAAAGGTGACACTAAAACATAAGACTCAAAAGAAACATAAAAAGTCAAACATGAAAGAGAAATCTCTTTTTTTCTTTTTCTTTTCTTTTTTTTTCTTTTTTTTTTTTTTTAGGCAAATGGGGTTAAGTGATCTGCCCAGGGTCACACAGCTAGTAAGTGTCAAGTGTTTGGTCTGAGGCCGGATTTGAACTCAGGCACTCCTGACTTCAGGGCCGGTGCTCTATCTACTTAGCCACCTAGCTGCCCCGAGAAATCTCAATAAACTCAATAAAGTCAAACTTTTTACAACCCTGTATGAGAAGATGGTACATGCAACTGCTAAAACTTTACCATTATTAAGGTAGTTAGGAGGAGTCTGCATGGGTGTGAGTTGAGATGATCTAAAAAAAATGGAAGGATGAGAAAAAGGGATGCACTGGGAGAAAGAGGAAGTTAGGGGAATAATGGGGAAAATTATCTCACATAAAAGCAATGCACAAGGAAGCGTTTTTATAGTAGAGGGGAAAATGGTGGCAAGGTGGACAATGCTTAAAACTTACTCATCTGAACTGGTTCAGAGAGGGAAGAATGCACACCCAGTTGGGTATAGAAATCTATCTTACCCAAAAGGGAAGTAAGGGGAAGGAGATAAGAGAAAAGGGGTGTGTGATAAGAGAGAGGGTGGATTAAGGGAGGCAGTGGTCAGAAGCAAAACAGACTTTTGCAGAGGAACAGGATGAAAAAAGAGAATAAACAGAAGAAAATAGGATAGAGAGAAATATACAGTAATCATCACTATGAATGTGAATGGAATTAACTCATCCTTAAAATGGAAGGAGATAGCAGATTGGATTAGAAACCAGAAGCCAAGAATATGTCATTTACAAGAAACATACTTGAAACAGTAAGAGGCACACATGGAGTTGAAATAAGGGGCCAGACCAGAATATATTATGCTTCAGCTAAAGTAAAAAAGGCATAGGTAGCAGTCATGATCTCAGGCCATATTAGAGCAAAAAAAAAAAAAGGCCTAATTAAAATAGATAATCAGGAAAACTATATTTTGCTAAAAGGTGCCATAGACAATGAAGTAATATAAATACTAAATATATATATGCATCAAATGGAATAGTATCCAAATTCATAAGGGAAGAGTTAAATGAGTTACAAGAGGAAATCAGAAGTAACACTAATATGGGAGACTTCAGTTTGCCCTCTCAGAACTATATCAATTGAGACTTAAAATTATTAAGAAAGAATTTAAGATAAATAGAATTTTAGAAAAGTTAAGGTCTGTATAAAATTGAATGGAAATAGAGTTATGGTTACCTTTGGTGTCAGAGTTAGGTTAGGGTTTTCTCAGCTGTACATGGCACTTACCTTCACAAAAATTGGCTATGTATTAGGGCATAGAAACCTCGCAAAGAAATACAGGAAAGCTATTAAAAGTACCGTTTTCCAAACCATAATGCAACAAATATTATATTCAATAAAAGTCATTTGAAATATAGATTTAAAATAAATTTGAAACTAAACTAGTCCTAAAGAACGAATGAATCAAAGAACAAATCATAGAAGCAATCAATAATTTCATTAATATAGACAACAATGAGACAGCATACCAATATCTGTACCATGCAACAAGAGCAGTAATTAGGAGGGAAATTTCTCTCTATCTTACATTGCTTAATGCCTACATTGATAAAAGAGAGAAAGAGCAGATCAATGAATTGGGCATGCAACTAAGAGAAACTAGAAAAATAACATTAAAAATCATCAAATACCAAAAGAGAAATCTTAAAAATCAAAGGACAGGTTTATAAAATTAAAAGTTTAAAAACAACAACAACAAAGAACTAATAAATAAAACTCAGCTGGGTGTATAAAAAAATCAGTTAATTTTATTTTTAAAAAAAGAAAGAAGAAAGCCAAATTACCAGCATTAAAAATTAAAAGAGTGAATGCACCACCAATGAAGACTAAATTAAAGCAAATCTTAGGAGCCATTTTGCCCAATTGTATGCCAACAAAACTGACAATCTAAGTGAAATGGATGAATGTTGACAAAAACATAAATTGCTCAGATTAACAGAAGAGAAAATAGAATTCTTAAATAATTTTATCTTAGAAAAAGAAGTTGAATAAGCTATAAATGAGCTCCCTAAGAAAAATGCCCCAGGTTAAAATACATTTTTCAAGTGAATTCTACTAAACATTTAAAGAGTAGTTAATTCCAATATTATATAAACAATTTGAAAAAAATAAGTAGAGAAAGAGTCCTGCCAAATTTCTCCTGTGACACAAATATGGTGTTGATTCCATGGAGACCAAAAAGAGAGAAACAAAATTATCAACCAATTTCTTTTATAAATATTGATACAATTAAAAAAAATTCTAGCAAGGTGACTACAGTAATATATCACAAAGATTATATAGTATGATTTATTTTAGGAATGTAGGGCTAGTTCAATATTAGGAAAACTGACAGCATAATTGACCATATCAATAGCAAAAAGAACAAAAATCATATGACTATCTTAATAGATGCAGAAAAAGCTCTTAACAAAATATAACACCCATTCCCATTAAGAACACTAGAAAGGGGCAGCTAGGTGGTGGAGTGGATAGAGCAAAGGCCCTGAAGTCAGGAGGACCTGAGTTCAAATCTGGCCTCAGACACTTGACACTTACTAGCTGTGTGACCCTGGGCAAGTCACTTAACCCTGATTGCCTTGCAAATCAAACAAACAAACAAACAAAAAACCATCACTAGAAAGCATAGAAGCAAAAGACACTTTTCTTAAAATGATAAATAATATATATCTAAAACCAAGAGCAACCATTATTTGTAATAGGGATAAACTAGAAACCTTCCCAATAAGATCATGGTTGTCTGTTATCACTATTACTACTCTGCATTGTACTGGAAAATGAATAGGCAATGAGGAAACACAATTATCAGTCTTTACAGATGATATGATGGAATGCTTAGAGAACCCTAGATAATTGACTAAAAACTAGTTGAAACAATTAACAACTTCAGCAAAGTTGCAGGTTATAAAATAAACCCAAATAAATCATCAGCATTTCTGTACATTCCAAACAAAGCTCATTAGGAAGAAATGGGAAGAGAAATTCCATTCAAAATTACTACAGTCAGTATAAAATATTTAAGAATCTACCTGCCAAGACACATAGGAAGTATATGAAAAGAATTACAAAATATTTTTCACACAAATAAAGATACATGTTAATAATAGGAAAAATATTAATTGACCATGGGTAGGCTAACTCAAAATAATAAAAATGACAATACCACCTAAATTAATTTACTTATTCAGAACCATACTAATGGTGGTGTCACACGAATCAAACTACTGAAGAATTATTTTATAGAGCTAGAAAAAAATAACAATATTCATCTGAAAGAACAAAAGGCCAAGCATATCAAGGGAATCCACGAGAAAAATATGAAAGAAGGCAGCCTACCAAGACCAAACTTCAAATTGTATTATAGAGCGGTAATCATCAAAACAATCTGGTGCTGGTGGATGAATGGAATAGATTAGGTACACAATATACAATAGTAAATGATCATAGTAATCTGGTATTTTATAAACCCAAAGATCTAAGCTTTGTGGGAAGGAGCTCAATATTTAACAAAAACTGCTGGGAAAACTGGAAAGCAGTCTGGCAGAAACTAGGTGTAGGCCAACATCTCACAGGATAGACCAGGATGAACTCAAAATGGGCACATCACTTAGATATAGAGGATGATATCCATCTAGAGAGAGAGAGAACTAATGAATCCAGAGCAGATTGAAGCATATTGTTTTCACTTGTCTAATATAGAAATGTTTTGCATGACTTTACGTGTATAGGGGGCATCATATTGCTTGCTTTCTCAATGAGTGGGGGAGGGACTAAAGAGAAGGAAAAAATTTGGAAAAAAAAAAGAACATTAAAAAGAATCCACTCCCCATACCACTTATGACTCTCCCACTCTTCCACATTCTGCCACCAGTCTTAGAACACTGAAAATCTGCTCTCTCCATTCCCCATGGATCTGATGATTGGTGTTTCCTTGCCCTGGTCCCCCATTTTGTAAGGTGCCCAGCCTGTGCTCACATAACTTCTGGCTTTACTCTTGATTCCCACAACTCTTCCACTTCCTCTCCAGCAACTTTTCAGCCCTGGAGATGCCACCTCTGTGTTGTCTCCTTTGGTTCCAAAGGTCCTCTCCTTTCATTGGTGAATCCCTGGTGCAGACTTTTGTTTGGTGAGTACACCACATCCACTTCACTCCTGGATTCATGCCTGACTTTTCTATCTTCTCTCCAGCAGGCTTCCTCCACCCACCTTCCCACTCTCCAGATTTCTTACATGTGTTTTCTTTCTTGATTTGAGGGAATTTCCTGCACTCCTATGGCTGGACTCTCCTTCATACCCCAGAATCTTATCATCCTGGATATTCACTTTAGCCCTGGAACTCACACCTCAGAAGTAACCTAGTGCCTCTGCCTCTAAATGGAAGCCAGAACCCCCATTTAAGGGGGGCAGCCAAGCCAGCCATCTCTTCATTTTCACTAAGCTGCTCCTATACCAGGTACCTTCTTCTTACCCTACCCTTCATCCTTTTTAGCTTCCTCTTATTTATTATCTTCTCCTTTAGAATATAAGCTTCTTGAGAGCAGGGGCTGTCATTCTTTTCTATCCCCAGTGGTCAGCACAATTCATGACATATAGTAAGCACTGAAATATTTCAAATACTTCTTGACTTGAGGGAAATGATAGGAGTGGGGTAGGGTTGCCTTTCTTTGTATTTCCATAGCTTTGCACAATGCCTGGAACATAAGAAATGCTTCTTAGATGCCGTCTCTCATCTAATATAGTGGCATATTACTGTTCTGTAAAAAATATGACGAATACAGAGAATCATGGAAAAAAACAGGCCTTTCATTCAGTCAGAACTAAGGATACAACATATGCAATGAATTCCATAATTCCATTACGTGTAAATAACAACAACTACAAAACAATTGAAAATGAATGCTACAAAATTGTAAAGAACAAGTACTTGATTTGGCCTCAGGGCTCAAGGGTATGAGTATTTACAGAAAATTGGTACTTAGAAAGCTTTATTACTTATGCAGCACAGTAAGCAGGCAAAAACAAAAACACATGTTATATGGCAACACAGACAGGCCATGCAGAGCCAGCTACTCACATGAGGGAGACATGTACTGTGGCAACAAGTGGTCTTGGTGGGAGCACATGCTTAGAGTAGGATCTGAGCAGAGAAATTTTATACCTAAAACATTGGTTTGGTTGAGAATATGGGAGGGCACATTCTTAATCAGACCTAGATGTGGTGAGGAAATTTTCCAGGTCACTCATCTACACCAGGCTGAGGTGGGGGAGCTTTTCAGATATCTCAGAAATGGGATGCATAGTCACTGCAGTCAGCCAGAAGTACTGTCCACTCAGAAGTTGCAACCATTTATATGTTTGACATAGGATTAGAATGAATCAGGACAGTGGGAAAGTACAGGCTATCTGTCGCTGCTTAGAGAGTTGCCAGAGGAACTTGTAGCTATTACACACAGGAACACAATAATAATAACCTCTAGCAGATTATGAGCCTAGCCAAACAGGTACCTACCCTGGGAGATGACATGGATGGCTGAAAATCTTCTGAATATTCTCAGACTGTCGGTGTGCTTGATTTCGTAGTTCAATTCTTGGACCTTGTGAGTATGCATACAATAGGAAGTGTTAGCAAGTCCACACACCCCATCTTGACTGTTCAACAGGAAATCTGGGCTATCTGATTGATTGTCTGTGACCATAGTACCAAGAGTGCATTGGTCTTTAACCAGTATTTTCAGGTTAGTATCCATGTTCTGGATTTGTCCTTTCAGGAGATGTGCCATAGCTAATTAGGCTTATTTGAAAGACTAAATAGAGGTCTCATAGGCCAGGTCCACCTCCGCTATAGCAATAGTGGCAGCTAAACCAATTACAACAAGCACAAAAGCACCTTACCACATGTAGTGGTGTTTTCCTAGAGTCAGAGCAGTAGGTGACTGGGCAGAACTGTGAAATGACAATTCCAGGTTAAGTGTGGTGACAGTACAGGTGAGATTGCTAAAAATAGGAATTGGAGTGTAAGTACAGAGTAAGTATTGTAAGTATTGTGGAACTGGGGGTCCACAGGCAGTAAGAACTTGGAGGAGCCCATAATTGGCTCTCAGTGATCCACATATTGAGAGTTTGTCTGTGTCCCAGGTGACATTGAGATGGGGACATACCAGAAGGGTGTAATTGGCAGAGGTGCAGGCAAGGTCAGTCACTTGGGGGCTTACCCAATAGGCTGTACAGTGGGCCAAGATGTTGGCTCAAGGAGGAAACAGAGACACAATGGCAGGCTGATTGGAGTAGTCCTAGAAGGGATAGTGAGTTTGGGGTAACTCAGAGGAATCAGGTGAAAGTGTCTTATAGTAAGCCCAGCAATTACTGAGGTTGGAGGTCAGCAGGGTAAATATAGAGTTTCTATGGAAGATCTCTTGATCTGCCCCAGAGGGCCCCAGTGGCCCCAGAAGGGTACAAGTCCAATTAGGTAAGAACAGTGTCCTGCCAAAATGTCAGCACAAAGATTTTACTGGTGAACAGTTGGTGAGAAGTCAGAGTGGTAAATGGGAGGAGAAAAGTAAAAAGCAAAATCTTTTTCTTACAAACACATGGGTCATGGGAGTACATATGCAAGTGTGTAGGGAAGTGGTCATCAGGGGGCATATGCACACCAGGAAAAAATATTGGCAGCCACCCACTTGGCTGGTGGGCAGAAGTCCCCAGAACTCTACCCTAGAGATAGCACTGGACTGGATCTGGGTTCTGGTAAATTGTTTGAATTTTCCCTTCCATCTGTTTCTTCTAGGGTGGGTGTGGGTGGGTTGGAGGCTCTTGGAAGAGTGGGGTTAGGTCATATGGAATCCTGGCCACCAGGTCCCTAGCTACTAGACTGTTATTGGCTTGGGTGGGAATTGCTGGGCTGACTTTGTCTTTGTCCTGAGTTCCCAAAGTCTGTCCTGATTCTGAGATGGCAGGTTGGTTTTCCTATAGCCCGTTGTTTTCCAGACTGGACTTGTCTGGTCAGGGTTATTGGGCCAAGCTTGCTTTGGGTCCTGGTTTACAGACTGCTCTTGCTCTGGGCTTCCCCTGGAGTTCATATTTCTAGGACTGGGTTGAGACTGATGTGGAAATGAAATTGGAGTGGCCAGGTTAGTTTTAGGCAGGAGTTGAGTTGCTTGATTGATTCCGATTAGGCCCTCTGCTGGCCCAGATTGGGGTCACCATGCTGAGGATCAGGTTGTTCCTCCAATTATTTCCTGGTGCCCTACCTGACCTGCCCAGGTTAGGTTCAGGACCTGAGTCAGGTCCCTAAGAAAGTTGAGGGAGGGTCCAGGGAAGGGTGGTGGCTCAGGGAGGAGTGGAACCACAACCACAGAAATAGGGGCTATATAGGATGATCAAAGAGGGAAAGGCCAGGAAAGGAATAAGGTGAGGAAGGGTTTTCCACTGCTAGAGGCCTGGGTTAGTTACTCAAGTGGAGGGTGAACAAGGACTCTAAGGGCTTGAGTTGAGATATTCCCTTTTAAGTCCAAGCCCTCCACTGAAGTTGAGGACAAGGAACCTGGATTACTGGAATCATGGAGGTGGTAAGGGGGCCTCCTCTGAGTGTTTTCTATCAACTTTCTGTCATTAGAAGGACAGTCTGTGAGGCCTCTGGGATGATAGTGGGTACTGGAAGGGTGTGTGCAGCCCCAATTGTTGAAATCCTGCTAGTGGATGACTGGTTAATATCCAGGTTCCACCTCCTCTGCATAAGACCCTCAGTCACTGAAGTTTCAGTATGATGGTGGCAAGGGTGGCAAAAAATGTCCATTATCATAATAGCATGTGTGTACCTCCAGAAGAGTTGAAGAGGATGTAAATAGGAACTAGGAATAGAGCTTTTAAGTCTATGTCTCCAGGGGCAGAAGGAACAGCTTATTACAAAATCCCCACCTAAGTGGCCAATACACTATCCAGGTAGAGGCCACAATGGGTTAGGGCAGTGGAGCCTAAGTGTTTGTGCTCTTTGTGGGCCCAGTGGAGAAGGAGTCTGGGTAACTCATGGGTAGCAGCCACTCTGGCAATGTCATCAGCCAAAGCATTTTATTTGGAGGTGGGGTCCTCCTTCCAAGAAATATGTGAAACCCATATGGATATGTTGAGTGACTCACTCAGCCACCCCATTCCCACAAGTACTTACCCCAGACTGTCAGTTCTAAATGTAGCCCTAGCTCTTTGGTGACTTCCCAGGAGTCAGTTGAGAGCCATACCTCTCACAACCCCACAGAAATGGCTAGGGTTAGTGGTCCAAGGTGAGGGTGACTGCTTTCAGCTCTGCCCATTGCATACTCCAATCTCTGCCAGAATCTGACAACTGAGTCTCAGAGGTGGGACAAAAAGCAGCTGCAGCCCACTTCAGGTTAGCTCCACTCCTGGGAGTACTTCCATCTGTAAAATAAGTTGAGGAGCACTTCTGAGGCAGTAAGGTCATCCTAGGATGCTCCCTTGTGATCAAGAGGGCTGCTAGGGATGGGGGAGTACGAGAGTCATGGGAAGGGATCCCAAGAACAGTCTGACTGGCTTCGTCATGGAAGCAGGCTAACACTAGAAAGGTCAGTGACTTTGTCTAGCAAGTAGCACTTCCACTTGGTCAAGGAGGCATAAGAAGATGACCCAAGTTTGGGAGGGGTATTTTCCCTAACACAGGGCATAATAGAGATTTTGGTGTGAATGGTGAAAGGTGAGCTGACTATAAGAGGCTCTGTAGCCATCAGATTCCAGTAGGCTGTAAGCTGCAGGATAACAGTGCCTCCCTGCTTCAGGCAGGTTTTTTTGCACTAGAACACCACAGGGACTCTCTTCCCCTTGTGTGGGAAGTCCTCTAGGAGTCCAGGAGTTGTGGGAGAAAGAGGCAGATGCCTCAACAATAAAGTCTTTTCTAGAGAACACCAGGGGCATAGCTATGGCAACTGCATTCTGGGTTACTGCTAGAGATGCTTCTTGGGATAGGCCCTAGCTGAACATGCCAGACTTCTGAGAGATGCTGTCAGTGGCCTGTAGCAGGGATGTTCTGTCTCCAAAATTTGAACACACCAACTAGGTGCTGGGTACTTTTGATGTCACTTGGAAAATTCAAGGCAAGCATCTTGTCCTGGATTGAAGCTGGAGCATTTCTGCCACCAGGGGTCCAGACATAATCCCAAAACTTAACACACTGTGTGGGGCCCCCTGGATTTTGTGGGGGGCTATAGTTCAGCCTCTGATGGTCAGGTGACTGACCATGGCATCCGAAGCTGCTTTGACAGGATCCGCCATGGGAATTACCTGTAAGAAGTTCATTCACATAGTGCCACCTGTGGAGGCTCTCTGCTGTGGGAAAGTCCTCCAAGTCCTGACAGAGCAGTCTATGGACAATGGCAAGACTAATCAAATATCCTGTGGGCAAGCATTCAAAAGTAAAAACTGAGGCTGACTCTTGGGGGAGATGGGGACAGAAGAAAACATGTTAGCAAGATCAATCACAGAAATGGAGCCATGATGGCAGAGAAAAAGCAACTACTTGCCTGACCTCTCCACTAAAATCCTCTGAACACCTTTTGATATTCCATAAAACAATTACTGCAGAAGGTCAGCAGGAAAGGTCTGTCACACCTGGTGAGAGTAGAGCACAATCCAGTGCAGGCTGCAGCAGCATAGATCCAGCCCCAGCACACCAGGAGCAGGCCTTGGGAACCACTGAATCAGCAGTGTTTGCTTATGGATCTCTCAGCCCAGAGATGGTAAGGGGAGTTGAACGACTGATCAGAAGGAGATTACAGGGGTCTCTTTTCCGGCACTGGGGGCAGGATTCTGTTGCTTTGCCCATACTCTAATCTGGGTCACAGTCCTGGGTGGCAGTCCCAGAGCAAGAAGGAGCACTAGCACACCAGAGCTTCTGGCCACTACAAAGCAGGGACCCTTGTGACAGGTCCAGGGCAGAAAAGAATGCTTATGGTCACTCACAGGTCAGAGAAGAGGTCAGGAGAACAGTAAACATACCTTCCTTAGATCATACCACCTTGAAAGAACTAAAACCTTTTAGGTCCCTAGAAGTATCTCTGAAAACAGCTGCAAAAAATCCCTGAAGCTTGGGACAGTGCACCCTCCATCATGGGAACAGAGCCCCACCTTAACAAAGAGTTAAAAGTCAAGAAATAGGCTGGGAAAATGAGCAGACAACAGAAAAAAAATTCTGATAATAGAAAGTTACTATGGTGACAAGGAAGATAAAAACAGAAACTCAGAAGAAGTCCAATATCCCACATACAAAACGCTTAAGAAAAATATGAATTGGTCTCAGGCCATGGAAGAGCTCAGAAAGGATTTTGAAAATCTAGTAAGAGAGGTAGAAGAAAAATTGGGAAGAGAAATGAAAGTGATGTGAGAAAATCATGAAGAAAGAATCAATAGCTTGGCAAAGGAGACACAAAAAATACTGAAGAAAATAACACCTTAAAAACAGACAATCAAATGGTAAAAGAGGCACAAAAAGCCAATGAGCAGAGGAATGCCTTGAAAAGCATAACTGAAAAAAAAAAAGAAAGAAAAGAAAAGCATAATTGGCCAAATGGAAAAATAGGCACAAAAATTTGCTAAAGAAAAAAACTCCATAAAAAGTAGAATTGGCCAAATGGAAAAGGGGGTACAAAAGCTCACTGAAGAAAATAATTCCTGAAAAATTAGAATTGAGCAAATGGAAGCTAATAATTTTATGAGAAATCAAGAAACAATAAAACAAAGCCAAAAGAATAAAAAAAAATAGAAGAGAATGTGAAATATCTCATTGGAAAAACAACTGACCTGGAAAATAGATCTAGGAGAGATAGTTTAAAAAATATTGGACTACCTGAAAGCTATGATCAAAAAAGAGCCTGGACATCATCTTTTAAGAAATTATCAAGGAAAGCTTTCCTGATGTTCTAGAACTAGAGGATAAAACAGAAATTGAAAGAATCCGACCCTCCCCTATCAATCTCTGAAAACCCAGAAAATATCACCCTAGGAAAAAAAAAAAACCCGGAACAGCTGAACTAGAAGAAAGATGGGGAACGGCAGTGCAGCAGCCCAGCAAACAGGTCTCCCAGTGCCTCAGCAAAAATAAGGTAAGCAGCACTACAAAGGGCCCCAGGTGGATAAGCACCCTGCAGCATTCATCTGAAAGGAGCTGAAGAAAGCAACCTAGTCTTCCTAAAGCCCCAGCCTTGCTGATTCCAACCCAATACCAGGTAAGCTGTCAGAAACTTACAGCCTCCAAATGTCAACCAGGAGGAGATCCTGAAGCCCAGGTGGCAGAGCAGGCAAACACCAACACCTGGACCTCTGAGTGCCTCAGTGAGGGCAGGGGAACCAGTGGAAACCAGCTCAGAAAACCACCAGGTGCCTTGGCACTCTACAGCAAAAGAATCTCCCCATGTATTGGCAGAAACGAGGGAGGCAGCATTGCAAGGGGCCCCAGGCAGATAAACACCCTGCAGCACCCACCTAAAAGGAGCTGAAGAAAGATAAAGGAAAGGAAATGCAAGCAACCTAGAATTGCCTGAAAGTTCCAGCCTTGCTCATTCCAGCCCAACACGAGGTAAGCTCAGTTTTGCTTCTCCAATTACCAACATAAGAGGCCCCAGCACACAAAGCCAGTGACCAAGACCTAGGCTCCCAACACAAGAAGCCTGGGTCAGTGCCTTCTGTTCCTCAGCAGGAGAGCTCAATCTCTTTAAACGCCAAGAAATAAAGAAACCATGAGTAAAAAGAAAAGTACCATGGATTCATATTAGAGAAGAGTGGAGATCAAGATAGAAATTCTGAAGAGGACAACATTGTCAACAATCCCACATCTGCAACATTAAAAGGGAATATGAACTGGTCTGAAGCCCAAAAAGCCTTCTTAGAAGAGCTCAAGAAGGATTTTAAAAGTCTATTGAGAGAGATAGAAGAGTCCTTAAAAAATACAATTGTCCAATTGGAAAAAAACTACACTGAAGAAAACAAGTCCCTAAAAAACACATTTGGCAAACTGGAAAAAAAAAGTACATTGAAGAAAACAAATCCCTTAAAAATACAATTGGCCAATTGAAGAAGGAAGTACAAGAACTAACAGAAGAAAACAATCTGTTAAAAACTAGAATTGGACAAGTGGAAACTAATGACTGTATGAGAGAACAAGAATCAGTCAAACAGAAAAAAAAAATGAAAAAATGGATGAAAACATAAAATACCTCGTCGGTAAAACAACCAACCTGGAAAATCAGTCCAGGAGAGACAATTTAAAAATCATTGGACTACCTGAAAATCATGATGTAAAAAAAGAGCCTGGACAGTATCTTTCTGGAAATCATAAAGGAAGTCCTAAAACTGGAAGGTAAAATAACCATACAAAGAATACACAGCTCACCACCTGACAGAGATCCCAAATTGACAACGCCAAGGAATATAATAGCAAAACTCCAAAATTACCAGATGAAAGAGAAGGTGCTGCAAGTAGTTGGAAAGAAACAATTTGAATGTCATGGAACCACAGTCAGGATTACACAGGGCCTTGCAGCTTCTACATTAAAAGAGTGCAGGGCATGGAACATGAGATTCCATAAGGGAAAGGAGCTTGGATTGCAGCCAAGGATCAACTACCCTGCAAAAATGAGTATGATTTTTCAAGGGATGAGATGGATATTCAATGCAATAGGGGACTTCCAAGCCTTCCTGATAAAAAGACCAGAGCTCAACAAAAAATTTGATCTTCAAGTACAAGTTTCAAGAAAGACCTGAAAAGGTAAATGGGACAGAAAGATACAAAATGTTGTTAATAAGGGCAAACTGGTTACATCTCTACAAGGGAAGATGACACTTGCAACTCTTGAGAACTGTATTGTTATTACACCATGTTAAAGGAGTATACATAAAGTGAGTGGATATTAGTTGACTTTGATATGATAAAAAAAATCTAATCAAGTGGGTTAAATGGATCCAAGTAAGTGGATTAGTCTGATCTTAGAAAATGTACTGTGAAGGGAGGAGGCAGAGAAGGGTAAATTACATTACAGGAAAAGACAGAAAATCCTATTACAGCAGAGGGAAAGAAGGGAGGGGGGTGAGCATTGTTTGAACCTTACTGTCATCAGATTTGGCTCAAGAAGGGAATAACATAATCAGTTAGGTATGGAAATCTAACTTGCCTTACGGGCAGTAGGAAGGCAAAGGGGAAAGAAAGGGAAGGGGGGATGGAAGGGAGGGAAGAAGCGGTGGGGGGGCAAAGGGGAAGACGGGGAGGTGGATAATAGAAGGGAGGAGAGACTGAAGGAGACAGTGGTCAAAAGCAAAGTTCTGGTGGGGGGGGAAGGGAAAGAGGAGAAAGAAAAGCATGAACAGGGGAAAAAGTATGGAGAAAAAGACACAGATAGTAATCATAACTGTGAAAGTTGAATCGCTATCTTTTTTTTTTCTTCTCTTCTGTTGAGTTTTGTTTCCTCTTTCTGATGGTTCCTCCTATTGGTTTTAATTTTTACTTACAACTTCACTAATGTGAAAATAGGTTTGATAGGAATATAAATTGTCTTATAACCTTTCATCACGTAATCATCGCATGGTATAAATTCTGTTCATCACGCTCTTAAAAGGTAAACAGAGCAGCAATATATTCACAAGTGGCATATGGATACATATTTATCTCTAGCACATTGCGAGCTGTAAGCAAGCTTAGAATTCCCAGTGCACATGCTTTGTCAGTATATTTTTGAAAGTTGACTTGAGTTATTTAGTGCGCTGCAGTAGTAACAGTGTTGTCCCTCAACTCAATGAAGAGCAGTAAGTGCAAGGGGAGTGGGTGGGAAGGCAAAGCTGCTGTAAGTCATGTGAAATGGTAAGACTTGCATCTTCCTGCCCTAACTAAACACAGTTTAGTTTATCTGCCAGCGATACATTAATATGTGAAGCATTTCTTTCTGATTATGGATAAATATAAAAACTATTCTGCAGGCTTCAAGCTGAAAGTGATTGTGACCACTGAATAAGCAAGGAAACAGAGCTGTGGAAAGGCAGTTTTCAGTCAGTGAAATATTGGTGCAAAACTGGCAGAAACTACAAGACAAGTAATACTGGCATAATTTTTTTAAAGAAAAGAAGCTTCACATAATGGTCGCACCCCACTTTTTAGCAAAAGAAAAATTGGCAAACGTCTGCAACGATCATGTGGTGAAATATGGTAACCCAAAGTTACACCCACAGGCTTGATGCCTTCTGACAAAATGGCAGATAGGCACAGGAACCCTGGGAATAGCAGCACCTCCCAGATCACCAGTCCTGCTTCCAGCCCTCCCTTAGAGCCAGCATTTGGGGAGATGACTCCTGTGAAGAAGGGCCAGCTATCTCCCCCATTGCCAACCAATTACCACCCACAGAGCAGGTAAGCAGCCAGAAGCAACCAGGCACTCTGAGGGAGAGATGGGAGGCAGAATGAACAAGGGAAGCCAAACCACCACCCTGACCACCATCTCCCCTCAGACTCTAATGGAGACAGCCCAGGAACCTGAACACAAGAATCTGGGGAGCAGCAGTGTTTCCAGCTCAGTGCCCACAGCTGTTATCCTGGGAAGATGTAGCCTGGCAACTGTTCCATAGGTGCTGCAGCCTCAGCTACTGAAGACCCTAAAAAGAAAGCTCTTGTCACCAAAGTCCTTGGCACTGTCAAATGGTTCAACATCAGAAACAGATAGGATTTTTTGGGGGGCAGTGAGGCAGTTGGGGTTAAGTGACTTGCCCAAGGTCACACAGATAGGAAGTGTCAAGTGTCTGAGGCCAAATTTGAACTCAGGTCCTCCTGACTCCAGGGCCAGTGCTCTATCCACTGCGCCACTTAGCCATCCCTAACAGATAGGATTTTATGAGTGTAAATGACATTAAAGAAGAGTTATGACTATCTGCTGTGCTGCACCTTAAAGACCATGGGATTGCAGCTGAAACATTCCCTGTCCGACTTTTCTATTTGTATTCCCAGTGCTTAGCATAGGGCTTTTGAGCATAATAAATACTTCATTCATTCATGGAGTCATCTAGCTGCCTCCTGGCATGTATGAGTTAATTGCTGTAACAGGATGTTACACAAATCAGAGAATTGCATTTTTCTTTGTATTTATTCAACATTTGACTTTCTCCTTAGATTTTAGGGCTGCTTTTTGTGTTTCAAATCTTCCAGTTTTGTTGTTAGACCTACTTTTCTTTTCTCCCTTCAATATGTCTCTTTCCTAAATTAGCACAGTTTTCTCAAGCAACTCACATTACGTAATGTAATTTTGCTACAGGCAGATCAGGAGTGAAATTCCAGGTGTATAGGCACAGTTTCAATTTTTGCCACATAAAACATTTCCAATTTGATTCTCAAGAGCTTTGAACTATGTAGTCTATTCTTATTCCTTTCAAGTAATTTCATTTCTAACACTAGGCAATTAAATTCTGATGAATCATTGAAAGAATCCTACTAGGGTCCAGCAAACCAAACCCTTCTGTGGAAAAAAAGAAGAGTGCCCTTTTCCTCAAAAGCAGTTTACTTACCTTACTTTTGAGGAAAATATTTCCTTTAAAATTTTTTTCAATTAAGTATTTAATTTTTCCTTTCTTCTACTCCCCCCTTGTATGAAATAAGCATAGCCAAACAAAACAAATTCCCGTCTTAGTCACATCCAAAAATATGTATCTCATTCTGTATGTAAGTCCATCAGCTCTCTGTCATAAGATGGACAGAGTTCTTCATCATAGGTATTCTGGAATCAGAGTTAGGTCTTCCTAAATTGTTTCTTTTTACAATTGTTTAAACTTTTCTTCTGGTGTTCTTCACATAAATCTTAGGTTTCTCTAAAGCTGTCCTCTCATTTCTTATAGTATAATAGTATTCTATTACACTAACATATCATAATTTGTTCATCTATTCCCCAATTAATGAGCGGCCCCTCTAATTTCCAGTTTTTTAAAACTATAACAAGCTTCTGAAAATATTTTTGTACATATATGACTTTATATGACTTCTCAGGGCCTAGTTATGCTGTTGCCGGGTCAAAGAGTATGCATACTTTAGTAAGCTTTTGGCCATAGTTTCAAATTAATTTCCAAAATGGCTAGACCAATTTACCATTTCACCAATAATGAATTAATGTGTCTTTTCCCATTGCTCCTCCAATATTTGTCATTTTTCTTTTTTTTTTTTGGGGGGGGGTAATTTTTTCCCCATCTGATAGGTGAAAGACAACCTCAGAGTAGTTTTAATTTACAGTTTTCCAATTATTAGTGATTTGGAGCATTTTCTTCATAAAGCTCTAGAAAGCTTGATGGTTTTACACCGGAGAACTGCTTATTCATATCTTTTGACCATTTATCAATTGGGTTATGGCTCTTACTCTAATAAATTCAAATCCCCCATGTATTTGGGATATGAGGCCATTATCAGAAGACAGGATATCAGAGAACCCTGCTGAAAAGATTTTTTCCCCCATTTAACTCATGCCCTTCTAATCTTAGCTTCATTATATTTGGTTATTCAAAAATTTTTACATAACCAAATTTATTTATTTTGTCTTTTCTATCCTTTGGTGGCATAGTGGATAGAACACTGGGACTGGGATTAGAAGACTTGAGTTCAAATCAAGCCTCAGATGCTTACCAGGTGTGTGGCCCTGCACAAGTCACTTCACCTCTGTTTGCCTCAGTTTCCTCATCTATGAAATGGGGATCGTAATACCACCCCCCTCCCAGGATCATTGTGAGGATCAAATCATTGCAAAATGAGATAATTGGAAAGCATTTACTGCCTGGCACATAGTGGGTGTTTAATAAATGCTTGTTTCCTTCCTCCTTTTTAAGTTCTTCCTTTTTTCTTTCACTTTATTTATGATGTGACTTTTTATATATAGATTTGTCAATTGGGAGTTTATCTTATGATGTAAGTTGATAATTTAATAATAATTTCTGCCAGAATGCTATATAGTCTTCCCTGCAATTTTTTCCAAATATTAACTTCTTATTCTAGTAGCTGGGGTCTTTGGACTTACCAAAAGTTATGTTTGCTTTTGTACCTAATCTGTTCCACTGATCATCTGAACTCCTATCAACCTGTTTTGATGATTACTGCTTTGTAGTATAGTTTGAGATCTGCTCCTGATATTTTCTCTAAATTAGCCAAGACTGGCCTTCTTACACCCCTCCCCACCCCCACATTGAGAATACAAAAAAACCCAAACCATTACACACATATATATTCAATCAAGGGAAATTTCCATATTGGCCATGTACTAAAAGTATTTGTCTCATTCTTCATTCCATATCCTTCATCTATCTATCAGGAGGTGAGGAAAATGTATACTCTGGGCTCCTCTGGGCATGCCCAGTTCTCATATGGAGATGCCCCCAAAAGACCTTTCTAGTAAGCCCAATTTGCCTAACATGGAGCCCCCTGGTGCCCAACCATATGGGTGGGGGAACCTTCTTTGATTGGCTGCCTGAATCTAATACTGGCAAGACTGAGTCAGTCATGCTTTCTGTATCACCCTTTTCAGCTGCTTTCTTTTTGGCCACTCTCATCTGCTGTGTCCAGAGTGGGGAAGATCCCAGTTCACCTACAACATGGGTACCATGAACTGAACTGGTCAAAAGAGAATGTCTCTCCTTTCTCTTCTTCCTCTTTTTTACCCCCTGCTCTAAGAAATGGACTCAGAGTCTTTGCCCTATTTTGTTTGTCCTTCTCAGTTACACGGGCTGGAGGTGATTCTCCATGGGACCTGAGATTTCAGGCCATGGAGACCTTGGAGCTGGGACTCCAGTCAGGATGGTGTAGCCAGCCAACCCAGCATGGAAGCCTGGGACTTGAGCCCAAGAAGGGTTTTTGGACTTGGAACTGAGAGTGTGTTCCATGGGAACTGAGCTAAGCTATGAACCTAATCCCTTTTCCCTCTTAAGAAACTGAGGTGGCCTCCCACAGGTCAGGGGAGTGAATTTGTACATTCCTGATTATATTTTGGAGTAAATATTCCTTTGTAAATGCTTTTTTGTTGCACAATAGTATTCCATCTCATTCTTATACTCTAACAGTTAGAGACTAGTAGTCTAACTTGTTCAGCTATTCCCCAATTGATATGTATCCTTTCAGTTTCTAATTCTTTGCCACCACAAAAAGCCACTGTAAATATTTTTTATACATCCTTAGAATTTGTTTTGCTTAGGAATAAGTCCTTCCTTGACCTTCCCTCCCTCTAATTCCCCCTTCTCCCCTTTCCCTCTTATTTTCCTGCATTTCTGTACTCAACTCTGTGTGTATGTATTCTTCCCTTTTGACCAGTTCAGATGAGAGTGAGGTCCAAGTGTCAGCCACTCTGCCCCCCACCCCCATCTCTTCCTCCTTGTTTGGATAAATTTCCCTAACCTTCCTTTCCTTACCCTCTCCCTGTGTATTCCTTTTCCAATTCTTTTCTTTACATCCTCAAGACATAACAGAACCACTCTCAAGCTTTGTCTAATTAGACTCCCTCTCTGAATCCTGATGATGATAGGATTCAGAAGGGACACATGTATCATCTCTCCACATTTGAATGGAAGCAGTTTATCTTTGTTTGGTCTTTTATCGTTGTTCACTGATGTTTACCTTTTCATATTTCTCTTCTCTCTTGTGTTTGAATTTCAAAGTCTTCAGTTCTGGTCTTTTCATTAAGAATGCTTAAAAGTCCTCTGTTTTATTAAAGGTCCATCTCCCTCCCCCCCAACAGCATCATGTTCAGTTTTGCTGGGTAAGTTATTCTTGGCAATAAGCTTATATCTTTTGCCTTCTGGAATATCATATTCCAAGTTCTCTGCTCCTTTAGAGTGGTGGCTGCCAAATCATGGGCGATCCTGATGCTGAGGTGACTCTTCAGTACTTGAATTCTTTCCTTCTGGTTGCTTGCAGTATTCTTTTTTTTTTTTTTAACCTGGAAATTCTAGATTTTTGGCTATAATGTTCCTGGGAGTTTTCATTCTGGAAGTTCTTTCAGAATGTGAAGGTGTATTCTGTCTATTTTCTCTTTGGTCTCTAGCTGTAAGAGATCCAGGCAGTTCTTTTTAAAGATTTCTTGAAATAGGATATTTAAGCTCTTTATTTCTTCATGACATTCAAATAGTCCAGTGATTCTTAACTTTTTCCCCCTCAATCTGTTTTCCAGGTCAGCTGTTTTTGCTATGAGATACTTTACATTTTCTTCTATTTTTTCCAGTCTTTTGACTTTATTTTAATATTTCTTGTTGCCTCATGGAACTATTGGCTTCTATTGGCCCCAATTCGTTGCTTGGGCAAGGTTTTGTACCACTGTGCCATGCTTCTAATTCCTTTTTTAGTTCTTGCTTCCATTGCTCTAACTTATTTTCCATTTTTTTCCCTCAAGAGTTCTCATTCCATTTATTAAAATATTTTAAACTCTTAAAAAAAAAACTTTTGCTTCTTCTCTTCCAGGAATTCTAGTTGAGTTTGTGCCCAAGCTGTTTTTTTCTCTGAGGCTTTTCCTGTAGATTTTTTGGAGTCATTCTCTTCTGGATCTATGTCTTGAAAATCCCTGCCATCATAATAGCTCATTGTAGTGGGGTTCTTTTTGTTTGCCCATTCTTCCAGCCTACTTCCTGACTTTGCATTCAATATTAGGGCTGGGCTCTGCAACATTTCTGGAGGAAAGATCTGGACTGGTCCTGTTGCTGCTTTCCTGAGGGTATTGAGTGTTGTGTTATTCTAGCATCTCAAGGACAGGTTGGGGACCTGCAAGCTTTTAGTGCTCCCAAAGTGAGCTGATCCAGAGCAAAGCCTGATTGCTGCCCCACTACTGAAAATTCTTGCTTTGGGTTTGTTGGTTCAAAATAGTTGAATTGTAGACTCCCCTTTGGTCTGGGATTCTTGCCCTGGTTGTACCTCTGCAGAACGCAGATGCTGAAAGTGAGACTCTGCTTCACAGATGTGGTCTGAGCTCCTCCACTGCTGCTGGCTTCTGAACTTCCTTCTTTCTTCACATACCACCCAGGAACCTCCTTACCCAGGAATGCCTCTGCTGCAAACAGGTTCCCTTCTCATTGTGCTCTGGATCTACAACCCAAGATAGAGTAGTGGGTGACAAAGCTGGCAGTAAGCTGTGCCCATCACAATGCTCTGGTGTGGGTCTGAGACCTCTTCTTGCCCTAGTGCACAGCCTCTCCCTGGATGCCATAGTGCTTCCCAGCAGGTGTTCCTGCCCAACCCTGTTTCCAGTGTCTGAAGACTTCCCTTTCTGGTTTCCTAATCCAAGATGGGCTGGACAAATGACTTTTTCTGGCCTTCCCTTTTAGGACTCAGTCTGGCGCATTTTCCAGATCTTTAGCAGGAATATGTAGAGAGGAGGTCACTGCATTGCTTCCTATCCCTACACCATCTTGACTCTGCTCTTCCCTTGAGATTCACTATCGTTTCTCCCTCCAGATCAATTTCAGTATTGTTTTTATAGCTCTATAAAGTAATCCCTTGATAGTTTGCTTGGTGTGGTGAATAAGTGAATTAATTTAGTTAGTATTGTCATTTTATTATATTAGTTCAGCCTACACATGAGCAATTAATATTTCTCCAATTAGCTTGATTTCTGTAAACAGTGCTTTATAATTATATTCATATAGCTCCTATGTGTAGACAGACAACCAAGTATTGTTTACATTTTATATAGCATTTTTCTTATCTCTTTCTGCTGTGTTTTATTAGTAACAAACAGAAATGGTGGTCCATTTCTCTATGTTACCAATAATGATGATATGGATTGATTTTATTTCTTACAGCTTTGCTGAAGTTATTGTTTCAAATTAATTTTTACTTAAATCTCTAGGGTTCCTTAAGTACATCATTGTATCATCTGCAAAAAAAAAATGTTAATTTTGTTTCTTCTTTGCCTATACTTATTCCCTCAATTTTTTTGGTTCTTGTCTTATTGTTATAGCTAGCATTTCTAATACTGTATTTCATCATAATAGTGATAATGAACATCCTTGCCTTACCCATGACCTTATTGGAAAGGAGTCTAGTTTATTCCCTTTACATACAGAATGCTGGCTCTTGGTTTTAGATATATACTATTCAATGTATTAATGGACATTTATTAGTGATTTTTTTAACAGAAAGATATTTTTTCTGTCTATGTATAAGCATATGATTTTTGTTCTTATTACAAATACTGTTAATTATATTTATAATTTTTCCAATATTAAACTTAACTAAAATTTTATTGCTCATATAAATCTAACTTTGTCGGAGTTTGTAATCCTTAATATGTTGCTGTATCCACTTTGCTAAGATTTTATTTGAAATTTTTGTGTCAATGTTCATTAGCAATTTTGGTCTATACTTTTCTTTCACATTTTTACTCTATCCAACTTCAGTATCAAGATTAAATTTGTATCATAAATGGAATTTGGGTTTTTTCTTTGGTTCTTTTTGCAAGTGGTTTGTATAATTTTGGATTTAATCATTGTTTGAATGTTTGATAGAATTTACTTGGGGACCCATCTGGTCCCAGATTATTTGGGAAGGAGTTCATTTATCACTTGTTTAATTTCTTTTTTATGAGATTGGGCTGTTTTAATGACCTGTTTCTCATTCTGTTAACCTTAGTATTTTATATTTTTTGAAAATCCTTTATTTTATTTAAGTTGTTGAATTTATTGGAATAGTTGGGCAAGTAGTTTGCAATGATATTCTTTATTTCCTTATTTGTTGTGGATTCTCATTTTTGATACTGCTAATTTGATACTGGTAATCTTTTTAATCAAATTAGCTAATGGTTTATCTAATTGTTTTTCAAAAAAAAGCTCTTAGTTTTACTTACTAATTCATTCAAGTTTTTGCTTATAATTTTGTTAATCTCTTTGATTTTCAGCATTACCATTTTGGTGTTTAACTTGGGGTTTTTAGTTTGTTGGTTTTCTAATTTTTGTTATTTTTATGATTTTTTTTAAAACACTAATTCTTATGATCATTATTTATTCTTCAGTTGATTTTTAATCCTTTCTTCAATGGTCTGTTATTGAATATAATTTTATTGCATTGTAGTAAGAAAATGTTTGTGTATTTTTGTAAGGTTTTTATGCCCTAATACTTGGCTAATTTTTGTGATGGTGCTATTATGGCTTTCTATTCTCCAATCACCAGAGCTCTATCATGTCATAATTTTTCTAAAATTCAAGTCCTTAACTATTTTTATGATTAGGTTTGTCTAGCTCTGAAAAGAGCATTCGAGACCCCCCAACTTTATATAATTTTGCTATTTCTCCCTATAATTCATTTTGTGTGTGTGTGTGTGTGTGTGTGTGTGTGTGTGTGTGTGTGTGTGTAGGGGGAGTGGATAAGGGAACATTAATTAAGAATCTACTATGTGCTAAGTATTGTGATAAGTGCTTTACAAATCTTATCTCATTTGACCCTCACAACAACCCTGGGAGGAAGGTGCTATTATTCTCCTCATTTTATTTTTGAGGAAACTGAAGCAATAAAGTGACTTGCCTAAGGTCACACAGCTAGTAAGTGTCTGAAGCTGGATTTGAACTCAGGTCTTCTTGACTCCAAGTCCAGTGTTCTATGCACTGTCACCTAGTTGCTTTCTTTAGCTTTTGCTTTAAGTGTTTAGATGCTATGCCATTCAGTGCATATATGATAAGTATTAAAACTATTTTTCTATGGTTCCTTTCAGCAAAATGTAGTTTCTTTGTTTATTTCTTTTAATTGTTTTCTCTGTTGCCTTGTCTTTAATCATACTTGCTACCACTGCTTTTTTTGCTGCAGGTTTCTCACCCCACCTCAGTCCAACGATTACTAAATTCTCTCTCCTCCATCCGTTTTCCAGATCAGTGCTTTTTGATAGATGTCTTGCATTTCTTTTCTTTACATTATCTTTTGACTTTGTTTTAATATTTTCTAATGAATTAATTGGTCCATTCTGATTTTCAGGAAGTCAGTTATCTGGGTAAGGTTTTGTACCTCGTGTTAAATTGTTAATTTTCTAAATTTCTTCTCTGTAGTTTCTATGTCTCTTCTAATTCTTTTTTCCCTATCACTCTTATTTAATTTATATTATTTTAAACTCTTAAAAAAAACTCACATAATTTCTCCTAGGAATTCTAAGTGATCTTGTGGGCAATTTCTGTTTTTCTTTGAGGCTTTGCTTTGCTTTTATGTCTTGGGCACCCCTGGCATCATAATAGGTCTCTATCAATTTTTTTTTTTTATTCTTGAGGATCAAAATATCTTTGCTGAGGTCCTGTTCCTTGTTTGAGGGTTGTCTCAATTCCTTCTCTTCTAGAGAGTGTGAGTTCCTGATTCTTACCTGGAGGATGATTCTTTGATCCTTTCTCCTGCAGGGATTGACACTTGAGGGACCATATTGATATCCTATTCCTTGCCTGAGTCTTGTCTCTGGATCAGAATAGGAGCAACCATTCTTCAGCCCTTTTCTTTGCCACAGAGGCCAAGTCCAAGATCCTCCCTCACAAGGGATTGGTATCAGTGTTATTGATGTAGAACGCACACCCAGGGCATGAGAGATATGATGGTTGGGAGTTGAGATATGCAGTTCGTGGGGAGGGTAGAGTGGTGCCCAGAGCTGGACTAAACAGGTTCCTCCTACTCCATCATCTTGGCTGGCATATTTTCTTAGAGAGAAAAGCTTCATTTTCTGTGTTGGAGAGAAGAGAAAAAAAGTTAAAAGGGCAATAGTTAGCAGGGCAGGGTTCATAAGCACCAGATAAGGTTGGAAGCCAAAAACTGCAAGTGAGTTTTACAGGTTTCTCTCAACTTTTGAATTTTCTAGAGAGAAAATTTTAAAAACTGACTTCTATGCTGTTAAAAATTGAGAGCCTTTTTCACTAAATGGATTTTAACAGGGATAAAAATAAAACAAACAAATGCCTTTGCTTTCTGGCAAATCACTGATTTGTTCACAAAACCAAGGGCCTATTGAGTCAATGACTGTTTTTGGATGAAAAGATTCTTCTTTTGGAAACTGTTTTGGATAATGTGTTGGTCAATTTGTCCCCCAAATTTGCTGGTCTTTGCTATCTAGCAAAATTGATTGGTTGATGATGTCTCTCTTTCTGGCATAGACACTTCTATTTTCAGATGCATCAGTTCCCACTCTGGAGGTTCTTCCAACCTACCATTTTGACTATTAGTAATGAGGAGTCTATCCTCAAAAATATTTGTTAACTGGCAGCAACTTGATTAGAGCTTCATTCAACTAGAAGCCTAGCTTTGGACCTCAAAGACCAGCAAGAATGAAGCCTAAGCCTCAATTGGAATTGTTCTGAAGCTTACTGCTGCCTTTATGGAGGTGCAGCTGTTTCAGTGTCAGCAGTATTCTAGCTTTTCTGTCTAGACCAGGGGTCAGCAACTGTAGCCTTTGGGCCAACTTTGGACTGCAGCCTGTTTTTGTATGGTGTATGAGCTAAGCAGAGTTTTTACATTTTGAGATTATATATGTATGTATATATATATATATATATATGTATGTATGTATGTATATGTATACATACATATATAAAAATATACATACATACATATAAAAAACCAGAACAGTCTACATACCCTAATCAAGCCACCAACATGCATTATAGGGAACTACAGCCATGAACATGAATGAAAACATGAACCAACATGTCTTACTGTGTCTGGAAGACCGGACCTTCCTTTCAAAGGGTCAGATCCCATAAGCTCGATTGAGAGGTCAGCAATACTAGGCAGGCATATTCTGAAAACACCTCCTTTGAGGGTAAAAATGCCCCTTTCTTCTATTTGCTTGGCTATGAAAGACTTTCGAAGTGCAGTGGCCCAGAGTAAGGCTACCCTCAATCTGTGTCCAAAAGTACCATTTCAGTGTGTAATGAAAATTCTTTATTCTGCATTTTAGACAAATCTTCCAGGGACATTTTTTTTTTACGTTCCACGGCTTGAATCACCTCTTACTACAGAAGGTAAGAATACAAAGGGGCAAATATCTATCCTGCCTTTGAAGATCTCTCACACAAGTAATTTTTACTACCGATGTAGGGTATTCCCCAAAGAAAAGGCAAAATTCCACAATGAGATCAAACATAGTGAAAAAATTGCAGAGTTTAGGGTTCTTCTCAAAGCTGAACATTCAAGAGATACTTTCATCAATTGCTCTTAGTTTGGTCCTTACCATAACCAACTTCAGGGAAGAATCCTTTGTAGGCACTTGAAGTCTTTCCATTTAGAAACTGGCTAGGCTTTCAAGAAGAGGAATGTAAAAAAAGATTTCAGTGCAGGGCACTGTTTTGAATGCATGTGCCAGGAAGGTTAAGCCTCCTCTATTACCAGCATCCCTCAGACCTGGTAAGGAAAGCCCAGGACCCTGAGTCCAAGAGCCTTAGGAACATCAATGCTCCTTATACCTACTTCCTGCTTAGCTCCCACACCCAAACTTAAGGGGGGAAAACCCCTTATCAATCTGTCAGTCAGTGAACATTTATTAAGCACCTACTGTGTACCAGGTATTGGTGATACAAAGAAAGGCAAAAAGGTAAAACTCTTGCCCTCAAGAAGCTCACAGTCTAATGAGGGAGACAACACACAAACAACTATGTGCGAACAAGTTACATACAGAATAAATAGGAAATAACCAAAAGGGAGAAGGCCCTAGAATTAAGAGGGTTTGGGACAGGTTTCCTTTAGAAGGAAGAGAGGATTTTAGGTGGGACTTGAAGGAAGCCAGGGAAGGCAGGAGGCAGAGATGAGAAGGTAGAGCATTCCAGGCCTCAGAAACAATCAGGGAAAATGGTCAGACTCAGGCCATAGAGTGTTTTGTTTGAGGAATATTAAGGAGGCCAGTGTCACTGGATCAAAGAGTACATGGATGTTGAGGATGGCAGAAAACATAAGAGGACTGGGAATGCTGGAGGGGTCAGGTTAGGAAGGGCTTTGAATGCCAAACAGAGCATTTTTTGTATTTGATCCTAGAGGTGGATAGGAAGCCACTGGAATTGAGTGAGTAGAGGGGTTACATGGTAGGACCTATGCTTTAGGAAGATCACTTTAGTGGCTGAAGGGAAAATTGACTGTAGTAGAGAAAGACTTGAGGCAGGGAGACCTACCAGCAGCTATTGCAATAGTTCAGGTATGAGGTGATGAAGGTCTCCACAAGGGTGGGGTGGTGTTAAAGAAGAAAAGGGGGCATATACAAGAGATGCTACGGAGGTGAACTTGATAAGCCTTGGCAAGAGCTTGGATATGGAAGGTGAGAAAGAGTAAGGAGTCCAGGATGACTCCAGGGCTGTGAGCCTTGGAGACAGTAAAGATGGTGGGGAGAGAAGGTAGGTGTAGGGAAGGTTTTGGGGGGGGTAAGGTGGGAAAAAGAATAATTTCAGTTTTAGATATGTTGAGTTTAAGATCTATGGGATATCCAATTCATGATGTCCAATAGGCAGTTGGACATGTGAGACTGTTTCACAGAGAATACAGCAGAGGGGTTTCAACTGAATGCATACATACATATCAAAAACGTATCTGAGAATCAGTATAGAAATAACAATTAAGTCCATGACATCTGATGAGGTCACCAAGTCAAGTAGTATAGAGAGGGAAGAGAAGGGCACTCAGGACAGAATACTGAAGGATACTCATAGTTAGCAAGCCTGCCATGGATGAAGATCCAGCAAAGGAGACTGAGAAGGAGCAGCCATATTTGGTAGGAGGAGAACCAGGAGCAGGTGGTAGCAAAAAACCTAGAGAAAAATGAGTATCAAGGAGACAGTGTCAAAACCTGCAGAAAGGTCAAGAAGGATCTGGATTTGCCAATTAAGAGTCATTAGTAACTTTGGAAAGAGCAGTTTTGGTTGAATGATGAAAATGGAAGCCAAACTGTAGAGAGTTAAGAAGAGGGTAAGAGGACAAGAAGTGGAAGTACCTACTGCACACAGCTTCTCAAGGAGTTTAACCACACAAGGGGAGAGATATGTGTGATAATTAGCTAGAGAGGATGGAAGGATCAAGCATAGGGTATTTGAGGATGGGGGAGACAAGGCATGTTTGTAGGCAGCAGAGGCAGGTGGCAGACAGGGAGAGAGTGAGGATAATAGATGGGACAATATGCTGTAGAAGCCAGGATGGAATGGGATCACTTACTTGTGCATGTAAAGGGTTCCTCGGTAAGAATAGCTTCTTCTTAATGTGATACAAGAAAGAGTGGCAGAAGGATCTGGGTGATGTGAAATGAGAAAAGAAGAGAGAGTTCTCAGTGAATGATGTCAATATTTTTGGTGAAATATGACCCAAGGATCTTAGCTATGTGGGTGGAGGGAAGGGGAGCTATGGAAGGTTTGAGGAGGAGAAAAAAGTTGGATGAGCCACTGAAGTGAGTGGGATAACGAGTTAATTTGTTGTTCAATTGTTTTTTATTCGTGTCTGATTCTTCCTGATACCATTTGAGGTTTTCTTGGCAAAGATGCTGTAGTGGTTTGTCATTTGCCTTCTCCAGCTCATTTTACAGATGAGAAAACACCAATTGTCCCAGCTCAGAGGTTACTATGAAAGGCCCCAAGGACAGCAGCACCCCTGAAACAAAAACTTTGAGGAGATACATCCCTCACAGACATGGCTTCTGTGCTCCTGGAAAAGAAAGTACTTGTTACTAAATTCTTTGGCAATAAATATCAAATGTTAAACATCAGAAACCTATATGGTTTTATTTTGGGAAAGGATATCAAATAATATGAATTATTGCCCCAGTGCTTAGTACAGTAATACTAGCTAACATTTTCATGGCACCTACTACATGCCAGGCACTGGGCTAAATGCTTTACAGATATCTCATTTAATCCTCATAACAACGCTTTGAGGTAGTTGTTATTATTATCCCCATTTTACAAGTGAGGAAACTGAGGCAGGCAGTGGTGAAGTGACTTGCCCAGGGTTTCACAGCTAGAAAGTACCTGTGGCTGGATTTGAACTCAGGTCTTCCTGATTCCAGGCCTGGAGCTCTATCCACTGTGGGGTCCCCTAGCTGCCTCAATTGTGCCTGGCACATAGTAGGTGCTTAATAACTGTTTTATTGATTGATTGTTTTGCCACTGCATCCCAAGGATCATGAGGTCTTTCCCTTTGACTTGCAGCTGAAATCTCTTATAGGTGTTTTCTCTTTCATTAGAATGTTACTTTGAGAGCAGGGACTGTCTTGCCTTTTCTATTTATATATAAATACTTAGTACAATACTTTGCAATAGTAAGTGCTTAATAAATGCTTTATTCATTCATTTGTTTGCTTTACCTAGGGAAACAATATACAAACAACTATGTACATATAAGATTTATGCAGTGTAAATGGAAGGTGATTTAGAGGGAAGGGAGTAGCAGTGGGATGCCAGGAGAAGACCGTTGGTGAAAATGAGATGCTGGCTGTATCAGAAAGGAAGCTCTATAACTGAGGCTGTGAAGATGTGGAGGGAAAGCAGTTCAAGCATGTGGGTCACTCAGTTCAAATGCACAGACTCAGGAGCTGGAGTATGTGAAGAACAACAAGTCAGCCAGGATGATTGGATCCTAGTGTGTGGAGGGGCCAAGCAGTAAAAGGCTTTCAGTGCCAAATGGAGTTAATATTTGATCCTGCAGGTGTTTAAGAGCTAATGTTGGATCCTGCATAGTAGGCAGCAGCCTTCCAGATAC